ATCTCTTTTTCTTTTTCTTTTTCTTTTTACCCAATGAACCTTGAATGTAGTTTTCCCTCATTGTTTTTGAATTCTTGATTATAATTTTAGGTAACGATAGATTTGAAATACTCCTTTACTCTTATTATGCCACTATTAATTCTTATCTTTTCTTACAATATAAAAATGAGATGAATTATAGTGTTTTATTATGTTCCTAACTAATCTTTATTTTATTTAAGCATGGTTCTATATAAACAAACCATAACATAATTTTTTGGTTAACTTCAACTAGTTGTTTGGTTACTGAAAATCATTCTTTAAGAAGTAAGATCAAAACTTGTTGAGGAATGCTAGGGACACCCGCCAATTACACTCTCCAACCAACACTTCTATTTTCATTGGGCCACGTTATTTCGGTTTCAGACAGGTGATCATTTCATGGCCTAAAGCAAGCTTAGGTGGCCCAATAAAAAGGCATGTGCTCGCTGGAGAGTGGTGGAGGCAGGTGCTCATAACACTGCTTAAACTTGTTACATCAACAAAAATAATCGTTCTTTCAAAAATTAGATTGTGTAATTTTATTAAATTTACTAAAATAACAAAAGAGATGAATTTTTTTTTATATACAAATACCAAGTTAGTACCAATGTAGATTCGATAACTTAAGAATAATACACATAACTTAAATAAATAAATAAAAAAAAAGAAAAATCCCTCATACACAGGAGTTGTTAGCCGTGGCGGATATACGTTGAGGAGGATTAAACACATGTCCTATTCTTCTCTCAAAAAAATTTTCTAATTTTAAATTTTTTATATGTAAGTCTTATTCATTAAAATATATATTATACAAAAAATTAATAGATCCTACCCACTAATACATCCTAATTCTGCCCCTGATTTTTGGGCCTCAACATCTGCATCCTTAGTGAAGGCGTCATAGGCAACAAAGAAGACGAATTAAAATCCAAAAGAAAAATATTTTTATAAAATGAAGTGTAGCCACTTTGGACATTTTGAATCAAAGAGAGAAAATAAATTGTCTTACCACCATATAATTTGGTCAAGGTGGTCCTATTTTGGTTCCCATAGAAAGACTAAAAGTGATCAAAGTTGTTACTTGTAATAAAAAAAGTTAAATCATTATTATGTATTTCTTTATAAAATTATAGATTATGAAACCTATTAACCTAAGGATTCAATGATAGGTTTGCAAATTACCTCAAAACCCTTAAAGTGTAAGATAAATCTGTTACACTTGAAAATTTTTAAAAATTTATAAATTGAGTTCCTAAACCAAACAAATATTTATTGTCAAAATTAACCGAGCAAAGCTCATAAACAATCAAACTCAAGCATGACTTGTTTAAGAATTATGTCGAGCTCTACTTTTTAAGGTCAAATTGGGCTCATCCAGAAAATAGTAAAATTTGTATTTGACTTGAGTTTAACTCATCAATTCAAATAAAACATTCAAATTCATGCTTGAGCTCAAATTCAATTAATTTTAACATAGAGTTTTATAGTATAATAGAAAGGTTAATATAAATGATATGTTTTTTGACGCCATCTTGACTTTGAACTCAATTGCAAGGCTTGTTTACATAAGGTGATAATTTGCAAGCTCTTGAATATAAGAAGAAATTGAAGATAGATCTCAACAGATTTGTACTTTAGTTGTAAGCCTCATATGTTAATAACCTCAATAATCAAAGTTGTCCAAAGATAACAATAGGATGAAAATTCCAACTCTATCCTTTACTTATTATAATATAGTGTTAATATAAATGCCAGATTACGAGTTTCATTGTGCCCATTACGCTACTAACTAATCCTTATCTTCTTTTACCATAAAAAAATGGAATGAACTATTTTTGCCCACAATGCCACTAACGAATCCATGTTTTTACTTTTATTACAAAATTTTGCCTTATTTAACGACTTTTATCTTATTGAGAAAGGGGAAGAGACCCTATCTCTTTCTCTCTTTCCTTTTGGTAAAATAGAAACTTAAATATAATTTTTTTATTATTTTTTAATTTTTTATTATAATGTTAAGTTACGAGGAATTTGGAATTTACTTCTATCCTTATTGTGTCAGCACTAATTCTTATCTTCTCTGAATCAGAGAAAATTGGGATGAATTATTGTGTCATTATGGTGCAATAACTTACCATTGCCTATTTAAAAAAAAAAATTAAGAAAACTTGCATTAACTTAAGAGATTTGAAATTTGATTTCGCGTCCACACTCCTGGCCGTACCAACATAATTGTTTCTTCCAGTAATTTCTGAGGTTAATGCCAATTATTCGTCTTTCTATTGTTAAAATAGTTTAATTTAAATTTTATAGTTTCAATTTATCTCATGTCCTCTCTTTATTATTAATTAACTACACATATCTTCTCTTACTATTAAAAATGGTATCAATGTCTTCATTCGTCTAAGTTCCGTCCAATTTTAAAGTAACAAATAGTTTGCTCACCGTTAATCACTACCTTGTAGACATCCAACCCGCCATTTTTATTTTTTTTACAGCTGGCCTTTAGTGGGCCTCACCAGTGCCACATCAACTGACCTTGATGAGTCCGTAACCGCAACCACCACCCGAATTTCTCCTCTTAAGTGTGATTTGGGATGTGCAGAAAGACAAGTGGAAACTCTCAAAGGAGTAACTAATCAATGGATGAAGAAAACTTCTGAAACTGAAACACAAATACTATGTCCTTGTTAGTTATCTGTTGTACCCTTTCATGGTACCACCGCATCAAAGGATCACGAAAAATGAATCAATATAGGAAATCGAAATTTTTAATTGTATTCATGGATGCATATTGTAAAATTTGAATCTCGTCTTTAATCAGAAACAATTCTAATTATTTACAGTAAAATCATATTTATTTTAAAAATAACAATTTCAGTTATTCACGTCTTGTATCTCCATATCAACTATGCATATTCCATAACTACACTACTCTTAGGGAGGTTTTAGATTAGAGATTTGGACTAATACAACAATAAATTTATCTTTCATTTTACAATAAAATTAATAAGAAATAGACAATAAAATATATAATTCAATAAAAATACTAGAAGCTAACCATCCATGGATCAAAAAATGAGAAATGGACATCATAATAGGTGAGTTTAAGTTTATAAGTTAGAGGTATTAAATTCAAATAATAAATAAAATTAAATTTACACATTAAAAGTCACACATTTAAATGTTAAAAGTCTAGTACAGGTGGGAGTAGTGTGGAAAATAGAACCATCACCTACAAAAAAGGGTTTGGGAACTATTACTTATGAAAGGGTTTGGGAAATGAGTTAGGATCTATTTGTAATGGTGTAAGTGATATATTGAGTTTTACAATATAATAGAAAGGTTAACATCTTGAACTTGAACTCAATTGGAAGGCTTGTTCACCAAAATGAGATAATTTGCAAGTTTTTGAATATAAGAAGAAATTGAAGATAGATCTCAACAAATTTATATTCTAGAGGTAAGCTTCAACTTCAATAATGGAAGTTGTCCAAAGATAACAATAGGACAAAAATTTTGATTTTATTCTTTATTTATTACAATATAATATTAATAAAAATGTCATATTTATTGCACCAATTATGCCACAAACTAATCCTTATCTTCTTTTACCATAAAAAAAATGGAATGAACTGTTTTTGCCCATAATGTCACTAACTAATCCATGTTTTTACTTTTATTACAAAATTTTACCTGATTTAACAACTTTTATACATCTTATTGAGAAGGTCTCTTTCTC